TTCATGATGTAAAATATGTTAAAAACTCACAGGTTTCTCCATTGTCTCAAGTAATTCCAAATTCATCTGTAAACCATATAATTCTCATTTAATTTTTAATACAAGTTGTACAACTTGACCATTTTGAATCTCATCTTTTCATAAACAAAATTGAATTGAAAAGGGATTAATTGCATGTATATCCCTTTTATCTCGAGTGTTCAGACACAAGTCGTATAACTTATTTATTCTAACACTTATCTTCCTATATAAGAAATCAATAACTTGATCGTTTTGAGTCCATTTTTTTTATCAGATTAAAAAAGATTAATTGGATGCATATCCCTTTTATCCCCGAGCATTTAGACACAAGATGTATAACTTGCTTGTTCTAACTCTTTTCTTCCCCTAAGAGATTACAACTCGATTCCTGTTAAATATTTCCCTTTAACAACAAAAAATGGTTTATAAAAGGATTAATTAGATGTATATCCTTTTTATTCGTGAGTGTTCGAACACAAGTCATATAGCTTTCTTGTTCTAACACTTGTCTTTCTCCTAAAAGCAATCACAACAAACTAACAAACAACGTTTTTCCGCTTTTACGTGATCAAAACTTTTTGTATTTAAAATCAACCAACACATAAGATTTTTTAAACAAGAACTATGTAGCTTTGAATTCTCCATTGCACTGGGAGATACATAAGAGCAAGAATTAAATCTTATCAAGCACAATAATAATAAAAACCTTTTTCCTTTTTTATCTTCTTATAAATAGATCATACTTTATGTTTAATGATTAGGAGAAAATGATATAATAAAGTTAGCAATATTCTTTTGCAAAATTAACTAGACATAACTGTTTTCTTAAACGAGTGTCTTACGGTGCTAATATATTCCCTACGCATAATTGATTCACAAACCTAAATTTGATCGTGAAGACCATCTTTTTGTTTATTAAGGCTCTGCAGGTGACTTCATTGATTTCCTCTGTTGGTCATGTACTATGGACTTCCCACCACTCCTTTATCTTGCATCTTAGGTTCTCTTATATTTGTTTCTGTATTATCGTTTAGTGTAACATTTTACCCTTGCGATGATTTTTCCATTAAGGTTGTCTCCTTTTGAGTTACTAAGTCATTAAAGCGTCTAACCTTAAGGCCATTTTGGAAATCTCTAACAAACGCCTCTTGGTTTGGGTTGGCGACCTTAATTGTCTCCTCATTAAATTTGGTCAAATATTCATGCAAGGACTCAACATATCCTTGTCGAACTTTGAATAGCCTGGTAGTGGAAACTTTTATGTGTTTGCTGGTAAAAAAGTGGTGAACCATCTTTCTCGTCAAATCCTGGTAGCTCGTAATTGAGAACCTCAAAAGGCTTGCTTATGTACCATTGGATGGCTGCTTCATTGAACGTTCTAGCCTTCAGTTAGTACTTTAGTGGTTTGTCAATTCCAATGATAATCATCTAGGTGTTGATGGAAATGATATGCTCTCAAGGATCACTCTTGCCATCAAATGACATCAAGGCCAATGGCATGAAGTTTTCGTGGACCTGCACATCCTGAATTTCTGTAGCGAGTGGTTAGGGGTTAGTGAAATCCTATTCCTCGTCCATTTATGGCTTTGTGTGTTGGTTCCATGGATGATTTCATGTAACGCTTTGCTCTGGGGACATAACTCATTCATAGTGGCTAGTATCTCCACTATTTCAACACGATCAATAAGAGGCTATTGTTGTTATTGGTTGTCGCCCTTGTCATCATGAGATGAGATCTGACGACTGTTGGAAAATGTATGTCTGGCCTAGGTCTATTTTACTAGGACCCACAGTGGACGCCAAATGTACTTGTAAAGTTACACAAATTGATAATTCTACTAGTGTAGACTAGTAAAGTCGCAATTAAAATATCTCATGAATTATGAATGATCTTTCCTCTCACGTTATCTTCCTTATATAACAATTTGACCCGGTTTACATGAAAGCAAATTAAGGGTCATTAAATGCGATTGATCCTGATTAATATGCTATTTTTATGATTGACTCAATTTACTTGATTGTTCAGTATCCCAGATGTTGGTATCCTCCCTCATTAATAAATGTTCTTTTTTAATTATATCTTCATCAGATATTGACATATGTCAAATCTAGGCCAACATAATCAATTATGACTTATATGTTATTATAGTTCGATGACACTCGCTTGGATAAATTACTCCAAGCAAAGTGGATTCCATCATATCTGGGTTGACTTCAATCCACTCTAGGATCTTGTTTAAAAAATCAAACATGGAAACAACCTCTTAAATATGAGCTATGAAAATGCAAAGTGTTTTACTAGAGTCTCCAAAACAACAAACATATACAACTTATTTTGCAATATTTTGTAGAGAGTCTCAATAAAGCAGAGGAATGTCATTTCCTCCCAAATAAATGAATTTAATCAAATTGAATAAACAAATTATGATTATGTGTTGATGTCTTTTATTTTCTTCTATGTTCTGTTGTAGTTTGTTTTCACTATTTGATAGATTAATTTCATTATTCCAACTTTCACATCATATGGTTACTCATATTTTCAAAGTCACCAAATTGTAAATATTTTGACTAAATTTATGCTGAATAGGTTCAAAGATCTTAATTTTGTTTCATAATTTTAAATTTGCCTCTTGTACTATATTAGTGGATAAAAACTTTGTTTCTTAGATATTAGTTTTTGTCCTAGTGATATTTTCCCTAACATAAACTAGTTTTCAACTTAACATCTTATTATAAAATAAAATAGCTAATAAAATAAGTATGGGTTGGCAAGTAAGTCTAAAAAAAGCATATTTTATATTATTGGAAAAATCCAGAGTTGGCACGCTTTTCCATAAGCCATTTGACTCTACTCCCGAATTAGTCGTAAATAATTCAACCTAAATCGCGCGTTTCATTCCCTTTTCAAAGCTATCACCAATAACCTTAGCTAACTTTATTGGATTCTTCAACCACGCTTTCATAAACCTCATCAAGGTACCAATATCATCATTAATCCCTATATTTCTGAATCTTTATTTCATTTACCTTTCCGATTCTGCGTTTATTTTGCTTTGAATTCGATTATATTCGTTCTTAATTTGTCTTGGAGGTTTCTTCCTATATTCTTATTAAGCTGCAAATGTTTTTCTCGATGATTTCAAAATTGTATATGTTGTTGTTGACTATATAATTTTGACACAGATGTGAAAGGGAATTCATTTATTATTCATGCTCTTTTGTTTATGTTTTAGGTAACAAATTTGATTGAAACATTCCGATTGAATTTCTCTTCAATTTATATACAATAATTGATTTCATCTTTATTGGAATTAGCCGTAAATAAAAAACAACCAAAAATTGAAACAAAACCATAATCTAAAAACTTCAAAGAAAACTTAAATAAAGTTGATGAATAAAAGTGAATAGCATGTAGACATAAGCTGATCCAATCGGAGGAACAAAATTGCCGAAAATCGTAGTATTTTGAAGGCATGGAAAAAGAGAAGAGAGAAGAAAAAAACTGTAGGGCCTCAAACAAGACGGAGACAGAGCGGCGGGAAGATGGTTAGTTCTTGAGAAGGTTAGGAAGACCGGAAGAGGAAGTGGGAACAAGGAATTGACAATTAGGGTTAGTTGATGAGGTTTGGTTAAAGATCCAATGATAAATTGGATCTTGTTCTTGGAGGATAAAGCATAGCGCATTGATTTGATCCAATTATGGTAGTTGTGATCATGAAGTGGTGGTGCAACAAGGGTGGCTCTAGCGTCTTGCTGGGATGACGATAACGGGGGATCCGTGGATAGAGCACAGGATCTTTCGAAACATGGACGTGTTTGATGAATTGTGATCATGGTTTGGTTGATTTTCTAAATCTACTTAGGAAATGGCCATTGATGCAAAGGGCGAATCTGATGAAAAGGGAGCGGAACTGTATTACATGTGAACCAGTTCAGATATAGCCAACAGGTTTGCCTGGTTTAGGTTCTTGAAATACATGATGGTTTGGTTACGCGTTACCAATTTTTTTGAACACATCTAACCCTAACCTAGGCTCATATTTGTAGGTTGTTTATTTGGTACTTTCATTTTGGAAGGAGAACCAATACGAATAATCATTAGTGAGTAGTATCTATTAAAATGTTTGTTGTATTTTTAAAATAAAGTTTAATTAAATGGAGTCATGATAAAATATTAGCGCTAATTACTACTATCATCGCAAAAAACAAAGGACAGTGAAGCCTTCTATAAAAATCCAAATAATGAAATAGTACTGTAGTACAATGCATGTCAGAATTTGTCATTGCGTTTGTGAATATGAAGTATCTCTCATTGGATATGGTTGTAATTGGCTTTTATTTTCCTTCCTTCTTCGATCTTTTGGTACAAAGGAAGTAAAACCTTATTTGGCTGTATTTTATACATGAACTTTGGATTGGAGCCTATTTGATGCAAAGTAAATTTGGCAGATATGAAGGGTTGTTCATACTCATCCTTAGGCATGGGTATGGTGTCATACTGTCATATTGATCATGTTTGAGTTATCTACTCTGCTTATCCTTGTAATGTTGATGTTTTGACTAAATGAATTTCCGTTACTTTATGGAGCCATTCATAGACCTTTTGCAAACATAATCGATGCTTGTACTTTAGTTGTATATACATGTTAATTAAACTGTAGTTCTCCCACAATGCACACAAGTGTTGGTCAAGACATAACCACATTCTGTCAAAAATACAGAATAACCACATGCTGATAAATGTTTGTATTTAAAACATAGTAATAAAAACCAGACAGTATGGACCCGGTCTGATATCCATTTATGAAGGGGAAAAAACTACTAGGTTTTACTACCTTAGATTTTGTGGGTTGATCGGGTTTGGCCCAAATTGATTGGCTTGTCTATGCATTCTGGTCATTATTGATTAAAATAATCTTGAACTATCTGAGAAAACTTTGGTTCATGACTTGTAGGGAAAAGAATAATCATAAAGTTATATGGATAGCAAGTCACCGAGCAAGAGGGAGTCTACTGAGGTGGCAGCACGCGAGTCGCTTATCGCTATTTCAAACACCTCACCAGATAAAGTTCAGGATTCTGTGTCCGAGAGCCAGAAACCAGATGGGGCTGTGTTGCCAAATGCTGATCAGGATGAACAGTTTAGGTCTGAACTGATTTCAATTTCATATGCCGAATCACCTGATGTCAAGATCGGAACAATCGCAACCGGGGTCTAGGCTACACAACTAAAACTTGTTAGAAATTCATGTGTAATGAATGAACTTCGTCTCTGTCAGTGTTGTAACTAATTTTATTGTTGTGTATTTTATCTGCTATCCTGCAACTAAATGTAAATACTTTCGTCAGGCCACATGCTTTGGTCGAATGTTGGAATAACTTTAATAACTGTGTTGTCTAAGTACTGTGTTAGTTCATGTGTGATTCTGAAAATAAGTATTCATCTCGTACTACTGCCATGTTTTGATATGTTAAATAGCATTGAAGTCTTGTCCTCATTTTTACTATTACTGAATTTATTGACCCTTTTAAGCAAACATGCTCGTTATTTTCATGTCCTATCCCTATGGATGAGTGTGTTTTTTCTTGTCCTGTCCTATTCACTGCTTCAACAAAGAATGACATATTTGTTATTATATTATTATTGTTATAATAATATTATTAAATAGAAATATCTATCTTAATAGGAATGGTCAATTATTATAGATGTATAGTTTGTGAAAGTTAAAATAGTAAGTTCAATTATAATATTAGTGTAATAGTTGTATTTCATGTAGTATAAATACTATCTTTGTCTAATGTAAGAACACATAAATTTTACTCTGAAAAAAATAAGTAAAGTATTCTACTCTCTTCAATTTTTTCCATCTAAATTTGATATTTACAATTAGATTAGTAACTTATATCATTACATTAGTTCATAAATATTATCAAAAGAATATTTAAAATTGATTTTTTTCAACACGTTATCAGCACGATCTTTTCTATCGAAAGTTATTACTACACTAGATATAATCATGTAAAATGTTAAGCATCAATTCAAAATTTTAAGCATAACTGGAAACAACTACATAACATGGAATAACAACTTAATGGAGTACCTTGCATGTGAGGGACTTGACAAAATCTTTGAAGGAGAAAATTCAGGAAAGTCAGTTGTTGATTCAGAAGAGATGACAATGAAAAAAATCAAAAGTAAATAGGATAATAAAACATCACCTTGACGATGGTTTACAAATAGAATATTCAAATGTAAAAGATCCCAAAATTTTGTGGGACAAACTTAAGACAAAATTTGGACATCAGAGGAAAGTATTGTTGCCCTCATTAATGGATTAGTGGAATAAATTAATGTTCCAAGATTATAAAAGTGTTGCTGCATATAACTCTGTCATGCACCAAACTATAGCACAATTAGAATTTTGTGGCATAGTTATAACCGAAGAAGAAAAGTTGGAATTTCTTTTTCAACTTTTCATGCTTCTCAAGTTTTGTTGTAACAACAATACAGAATGAGAAAATTTTCTGAGTATTCTAATTTAGTTACAGTTATTCTAGTAGCATAACAAAATAATGAGCTCCTTATAAAAAATCACCAGTCACGTTTCACATGAACAATAACATATCCTGAGATAAATGCCACAATATTTAATCAAGGGTCAGTGGCTATAATCGTAATAAAAAACGTGGAGGTTATGCTCGTTTTAAGGGTCCTAGTCGAGGCGGATATCACCGTCGAAACCATTTTCGTGGTCGAGGTCGTGGACGAAATTATGTGAATAATTATATATTTCCCATATATGACCAAACTAACCGGAATCGTCAAGGTAGAGGTACTTATATCCAAGAGGGTCCCTTGAGGAATAATGATGATTTGTGTTATAGATGCGCAAAGAAAGGTCATTGGTCTAAAACATTTAGAACACCAGAAAATTTGTGTAAAAGAAATAAGGCATCTATAGAGGGAAAGGGGAAGGAAGTAAATTTTAATGAAATTGAATCTGAAAATGATACTACATGTCTCGAGGTTGCTGATTTCATTGAAGGAACAATGGATTGAGTAAGTTTTGTATAATATGTGATGAACTTGTATTAATTTTATATTTTTTTAATAAATAATCTCATTCATTAGATGAAAAAGAGAGAGTACAAATATAGAGAAATAAAATGTGTTAGGGCATTTCCTTTCCACAAATTAACAACACTAATAATTAAGTCTAACAAGCTATGGAGATCAAAAAGCTTTGAAAATTTAGAAACCAACAAGAAGTTACCAATCAGAATCCTTAATCCAATCATGCAAGGAAAGTTCTTCCGCAGGACACAAATGAGTTTTTGAACCCCAACCTTTAAATCTATTCAGGTTCACAATATTGAATAAACTCACAACTTGTGGAAGAAACAATTGTTGACTGGAATGAGGAGTTTGATTTGCCACATCTCAAACGATTCTTACTCAAAAATACAACTCTTTCATCCAAGCTTCTTTGAGGTATTTCATCAAATACCTTGAGCACAAACTTAAGATAACCTAAAACTAATACCAACACACCCAACAAAACAAATCAAGCAAGAAAAAACAGAACCCACAACAAAACAAGAACAATAATAGAAACCATTACATGAACACACACACACACACACAAACTCAGGACTTCCTTATCTTCCAGTGGTGGCGGCTCCGGTGGGGGTCAATTTCTATGTTCGTACCACTCTGGACCATCGATTGGTGGAAGTGATTTTGAGGTTACAAGTGATTGATGGTTGATGGTGGAGAGGATGAGTAGCTTCATGGAGTTTGGAGGAAGAAACATGTGTGGATCTAACATGGATGAGGGTTTCAAAGGAATGAGAAAAAAGGAGAAGAAACTTACAGTGGGGAAGGAACCTCCATTGAAGGGGAAATGACCACCATAATGGTGGTGAATAGCTCCAATGAGGGAGGAGGAAGAGCCTTTACAAGAGGGGAGGCGACACCCACCAAAAGAGAGCAACCCTAAGTTTAGAGAGATGGGAGAACTTCTCTGTCTAAACATTCTAACTCTTACTCTTATTTCAAAACTCCACCGTATTAATTTTATACTTGAATTATGTACAAACTTAAGTATTTGTATGTTGTTTGGTGTATCCAATGTTTGCATGAAATAATAATGTTAAATATGTTGTATTAACTTACTTTCTATTTAATCTTATTTCTATTTCAAGAAGGTTAGACCTGGAACATGTTGAAGACATTTGCATTCAAGACAGTGGAACTACCCACACAATCCTCAAATATAAGAAATATTTCACTGAAATAAATTTTACTAAAAGTGTAATAAATACAATCTCAGATCCTGCAGATTTGATTGAATGAACAGGTAATGTTATGTTTATATTACCAAATGGAACAAAGTTTGTCATTAATAATGCTTTATACTCTCCAAAAACCAAGAGAAATTTGTTGAGTTTTAATGACATATATCGTCAAGGATGTGACATTGAAACTGCAACTAAAGGTAATATGAAATATATTACAATACTACTAATGTTTTGGGAAAAAAGAAAAATTTAGAAAACTACCATAATTGCCTTATGGATTACATTATACTTATATACATGCAATTGAATGTAATTTAGTAGTAAAAGAAGATCCTAAAATGATGATTTTATGACATGATTGTTTAGGTCACCCTGATTCAACAATGATGCTAAAATAGTTGAAAGTACCCATGATCATCCATTGAAAGGTTTAAAACTTACAAAAGAAGATAAACCATGTGAAGCTTGCTCTCTTGGAAAACTAATAACAAAGCATTCACCAGGTAAGATTCAGACAGAATCACCTGCATTTCTTTATAGAATTCAAGGCAATATATGTGGACCTACCCATCCACCGTCAGGACCATTAAGGTACTTTATGGTATTAATTGATTACAATCAGACTTAACAATGCTGGTGAATTTACATCTGAATCATTTAATAATTATTGCACGTCAATTGAAATACTGTTGAACATCTTGTTCCTCATGTACATACACAAAATGATTTAGTCGAGTCTTTAATCAAACGTCTTCAATATATTTCTAGACCATTAATTATGAAAACTAAACTACCAGTTACTGTTTGGGGTCATGCAATTTTACATGTTGCAGCACTCATCCGTCTAAGGCCAAGTGCTAATCATAAACATACCCCTTATCAACTTGCAATTGGTAAGGAAACAAATATTTCTCATTTAAAAATCTTTAGTTGTGTAGTATATGTTCCAATATCTCCATCACATGGAACAAATATGGGGCCTCAAAGGAGGTTGGGAATATATGTGGGGTACAAATCACCTTCTATTATTAGATATCTTGAACCTTTGGTAGGTGATAATTTTCCGACGAGGTTTGTTGATTGTCATTTTGACGAAACAAAATTTTCAACACTAGGGGGAGAAAATAAAATATTAAAAAATGAGATAACATGGTATGTACCTCATTTATTACATTTGGACCCATATAATAAATAATGAGAAGAAAACGTAAAGAAAATAATGCACTTACAAGATTTAGCAAATCAATTGTCGGATTCTTTTATTGATTTGAAAAGAATATATATTTGCATATGGTGACACTGCAATATCATGGAGATCACAAAAGCAAACACTTGTAGTAACTTCTTCAAATTATGCTTAAGTAATTGCCTTTCATGAAGCAAACAAAGAATGTAGATGGTTACAATCGGTAACTCAACATATCTAAGGAGCGTATGATTTACCAATTGATAATAATCCAACAATTTTGTATGAAGACAATGTTACATGTGTTACCCAGATGAAAGAAGGTTACATCAAAATGAATGAACCAATCACATCTCTCCAAAGTTCTTCTTATTCACACAAGAATTTGAAAGAAACAAAGAGGTTAATATATTCGTTCATGTGATAATATGGAAGATCTATTCACAAAGACACTTCCTACATCAATTTTCAAGAAGTATGTACAAAATATTGGAATGTGTCAACTTTGAGATCTTTAAAGAAGAACTAATTGTGCTCTATTGAGGGGGATCATCATGTTGTACCTTTGTCTCTTATTAAGGTTTTTATCCCAATGGGTTTTTTCTAATAAGGTTTTTAGTGAGGCAATATATGTTCCCATAAGTTTCTACTTGATAAGACTTCGATGGAGCACCGTAAGTAATAGATATTTCAAAGGGGGAGTGTTATACTATTATTATTGTTATAATGTTA